ATGTGTCCAAAGCCTTTAAATTCTAAACCATCCGACATCCGTTCACAAGCTATCTTCTTTTGCTTTCGATATGTCCTGTGCGCCTTAAATTCCCAAAAACCATCCGACATCCGTTCACACAAGCTATCTTCCCTTTTGCTTGGATGTCCCGCAGCGCCTTTAAATTCCCAAACCATCCGACATCCGTTCACACAAGCTATCTTCCTTTTTGCTCGATGTCCTGTGCGCCTAAATTTCAAAATTGAAACCATCCGACATCCGTTAAACAAAACCATCCGACATCCTTCCTTTTGCTTTTCGATGTCCCGTGCGCCTTAAATTCCCCAAACCATCCGACATCCGTTCACACGTTATCTTCCTTTGATTTCGATGTCCTGTGCGCTTTAAATTCCCAAACCATCCGACATCCGTTCACACAAGCTATTTCCTTTGCTTTCCATTTTGCTTTCGATGTCCCTTTGCGCCTTTAAATTCCCAAACCATCCGACATCCGTTCACACAAGCTATCTTCCTTTCGCTTTCGATATGTCCCGTGCGCCTTAAATTCCCCAAACCATCCGACATCCGTTCACACAAGCTATCTTCCTTTTGCTTTCGATATGTCCTGTGCCTTAAATTCCCAAACCATCCGCTGACATCCGTTCACACAAGCTATCTTCCTTTCGCTTTGATTTCGATGTCCCGTGCGCTTTAAATTCCTTAAACCATCCGACATCCGTTCACAAGCTATCTTCCTTTCGCTTTCGATATGTCCTGTGCGCCTTAAATTCCCCAAACCATCCGACATCCGTTCACAAAGCTATCTTCCTTTTTGCTTTCGATGTCCTGTGCGCTTTAAATTCTAAAACCATCCGACATCCGTTCACACAAGCTATCTCCATTTGCTTGATGTCCCGCGCCTTAAATTCCCCAAACCATCCGACATCCGTTCACTGGCTATCTTCCCTTGCTTTCGATATGTCCCGTGCGCCTTAAATTCCCCCAAACCATCCGACATCCGTTCACACAAGCTATCTTCCTTTGTCCTTTCGATGTCCTTGTGCCTTAAATTCCAAACCATCCGACATCCGTTCACAAAGCTATCTTCCTTTTCTTTCGATGTCCTGTGCGCCTTAAATTCCCAAACCATCCGACATCCGTTCATTCCAAGCTTATCTTCCTTTCGCTTTCGATATGTCCCGTGCCTTAAATTCCCCAAACCATCCGACATCCGTTCACACAACTATCTTCCTTTTGCTTTGATGTCCTTGCGCCTTAAATTCCCAAACCATCTGACATCCGTTCACACAAGCTATCTTCCATTTGCTTTCGATATGCGTCCCGTGCGCCTTAAATTCCCAAACCATCTGACATCCGTTCACACAAGCTATCTTCCTTTTCGCTTTCATCCGATATCCGTCCCAAGTCTTTGCTTTCTAAATTCCCAAACCATCCGACATCCGTTCACACAAGCTATCTTCCTTTGCTTTGATGTCCTGTGCGCCTTAAATTCCCCAAACCATCCGACATCCGTTCACACAACCTTTCTTTTTTTGCTTTCGATGTCCCGTGCGCCTTAAATTCCCCAAACCATCCGACATCCGTTCACACAAGCTATCTTCCTTTTCTTTCGATATGTCCTGCGCCTTAAATTCCCAAACCATCCGACATCCGTTCACACAAGCTATCTTCTTTTGCTTTTCGATGTGTTTTAAATTGTGACATCCGTTCACACAAGCTATCTTCTACGCTTTCGATATATGCGCCTTAAATTCCCAAAACCATCCGACATCCGTTCACAAGCTATCTTCCTTTTGCTTTCGATGTCCTGTGCGCCTTAAAATTCCCCAAACCATCCGACATCCGTTCATTGCTATCTTCCTTTGCTTTCGATATGTCCTGTGCGCCTAAATTCCCAAACCATCCGACATCCGTTCAACAAGCTATCTTCCTTTTCGCTTTCGATATGTCCTGTGCGCCTTAAATTCCCCAAACCATCCGACATCCACACAAGCTATCCCTTTGCTTTCGATGTCCTAAATTTAAACCATCTGACATCCGTTCCCATCTTCCTTGCTTTTCGATATGTCCCGTGCGCCTTTAATTCCCAAACCATCCGACATCCGTTCACACAAGCTATCTTCCTCTTTTTTCGATGTCCTGCGCCTTAAATTCAAACCATCCGACATCCGTTCACAAGCTATCTTCCTTTTGCTTTCGATGTCCCTGCGCCTTAAATTCCCAAAACCATCCGACATCCGTTCACACAAGCTATCTTCCATTTGCTTTCGATGTCCCGTGCGTTTAAATTTAAAACCATCCGACATCCGTTCCACAAGGGCCTTCCTTTTTTCGATATGTCGTGCCTTTAAATTCCAAACCATCCGACATCCGTTACACAAGCTATCTTTCTTTTGCTTTCGATGTCCTGTGCCTTAAATTTCCAAACCATCCGACATCCGTTCACACTGGCTATCTTCCTTTGCTTTTCGATATGTCCTGTGCGCCTTAAATTCCCTAAACCATCTGGCATCCGTTTCTATCTTCCTTGCTGATGTCCTTCCAAAACCATCCGACATCCGTTCACACAAGCTATCTCCTTTCGCGATCGATATGTCTGTGTGCGCCTTAAATTCCCAAACCATCCGGCATCCGTTCACAAGCTATCTTCCCTTTTGCTCGATGTCCTGTGTAGCTTAAATTCTTAAACCATCCGGCATCCGTTCACTGAAGCTATCTTCCCTTTCCTTTCGATGTCCTGTGCGCCTTTAAATTCACCCAAAACCATCCGACATCCACCATTGCTATCTTCCTTTGCTTTCTGATGTCCTGTGCGCCTTAAATTCCCCAAACCATCCGACATCCGTTCACACAAGTTTATCTTCCTTTTGCTTTCGATGTCCTGTGTGCCTTAAATTCCCAAACCATCCGACATCCGTTCACACTGCCATCTTCCATTTGCTTTTGATGTCCTGTGCGCCTTAAATTCAAAACCATCCGACATCCGTTCACACAAGCTATCTTCCCTTTTCAATATGTCCCAGTACCTTAAATTCCCCAAACCATCCGACATCCGTTCACACAAGCTATTCCTTTGCTTTTGCACCTTAAATTCCCCAAACCATCCGACATCCGTTGTCCTTTCGATGCGCACCTTAAATTCCCCAAACCATCCGACATCCGTTCACACATATCTTCCATTTGTTTTCGATATGTCCTGTGCGCCTTAAATTCCAAACCATCTGACATCCGTTCACACAAGCTATCTTCCTTTCTGCTTTCGATATGTCCCGTGCGCCTTAAATTCCCCAAACCATCCGACATCCGTTCACACTTTCTTCCTTTCTTTCGATGTCCCAGTGCCTTAAATTCCCAAACCATCCGACATCCGTTCCCAAGCTATCTTCCTTTGCTTCAATATGTCCTGTGCGCCTTAAATTCCTTAAAACCATCCGACATCCGGTTCGTTACGTTTATATCTTCCTTTCGATGTCCTGTGCGCCTTAAATCCAAAACCATCCGACATCCGTTCACAAGCTATCTTCCTTTTGCTTTCGATGTCCTGTGCACCTTAAATTCCAAAAACCATCCGACATCCGTTCCCACAAGCTATCTTCCTTTTGCTTTCGATGTCCTGTAACCTTAAATTCCAAAACCATCCGACATCCGTTCACAAGCTATCTTCCTTTCGCTTTCGATGTCCTGTGTGCCTTAAATTCCCCAAAACCATCCGACATCCGTTCACACAATTTATCTTCCTTCGCTTTCGATATGTCCTGTGCACCTTAAATTCAACCATCCGACATCCGTTCACACTTTTGCTTTCGATGTCTGCCTTTGCTTTCCGATGTCCGATGTGCGCCTTTAAATTCCCCAAACCATCCGACATCCGTTCACACAAGCTATCTTCCTTTGCTTTCGATGTCCTGCAAGGCCTTAAATTCCCAAACCATCCGACATCCGTTCACACAAGCTATCTTCCTTTTGCTTTGATGTGTCCAGTGCGCCTTAAATTCCCAAACCATCCGACATCCGTTCACAAGCCATCTTCCATTTGCCATTTGCACCCAAATTCCCCCAAACCATCCGACATATGCCATCTTCCCTTTCGATGCGCCTTAAATTCCCCAAACCATCCGACATCCTTTGCTTTCGATGTCCTGTGCACCTTATCTAAAACCATCCATTTGCTTACATTTCCATTTGCTTTCGATGTCCTTGTGCGCCTTAAATTCCCCAAACCATCCGACATCCGTTCACACAAGCTATCTTCCTTTTGCTTTCGATGTCCCAGCACTTTAAATTCCCCAAACCATCCGACATCCGTTCATTCCTTGCTTTCGATGTCCTGTGCGCCTTTCAAACCATCCGATGTCCCAAGCCACCTTTAATATGTCCTGTGCGCCTTAAATTCCCAAAACCATCCGACATCCGTTCACAAGCTATCTTCCATTTGCTTATGTCCTGTGCGCCTAAATTCTGCAAACCATCCGACATCCGTTCACACAAGCTATCTTCTTCCGATGTCCCGTAATCTTAAATTGATATGTCCTTTCGATGCGCCTTAAATCAAAACCATCCGACATCCGTTAAACCATCCTTTGCTTTCGACATCCGTTCCAAAACCATCTGGACATCCGTTCCTATTTCCTTTCGCTGATATGTCCTGTGCACCTTAAATTCCCAAAACCATCCGACATCCGTTCACACAAGCTTATCTTCCTTTGCTTGATAACCTGTGCGCCTTAAATTCCAAAACCATCCGACATCCGTTCACACAAGCTATCTTCCTTTTTCTTTGATTCCATTTAAATTCTTAAACCATCCGACATCCGTTCAATATGTCCTGTCCTGTGCGCCTTAAATTCCACAAACCATCCGTTGACATCCATTCACATTGCTATCTTTCCTTGCTTTCGATGTCCTGTGCTGTAAATTCCCCAAACCATCCGACATCCGTTCCATTAAATATATCTTCTTTGCTTTTCGATGTTCCTGTGCCTTAAATTCCCAAAACCACATCTGACATCCGTTCACACAAGCTGTCTTCCATTTTGCTTTCGATATGTCCTGTGCGCTTTAAATTCCCCTAAACCATCCGACATCCGTTCACACAAGCTATCTTCCTTTCCGCTTTGATATGTCCTGTGCACCTTAAATTCCCCAAACCATCTGGACATCCGTTCACACAAGCTATCTTCCTCCTTTTTGCTTTCGATCCTGTAAACACCTTTAAATCCCCAAACCATCCGACATCCGTTCACACAAGCTATCTTCCTTTCGCTTTCAATGTCTGTGCGCCTTAAATTCCCAAACCATCCGACATCCGTTCACATTGCTATCTTCCTTTTGCTTTCGATGTCCTGGTAACCTTAAATTCTAAACCAATCGACATCCGTTCATAAGCTATCTTCCTTTGCTTTGATATGTCCTGTGCACCTTAAATTTAAAACCATCTGACATCCGTTCACAAACTATCTTTCCTTTTGCTTTCGATGTGTCCTTGCACCTTAAATTCCCAAAACCATCCGACATCCGTTCACACAAACTGTCTTCTTTTGCTTCGATATGTCCTGTGCACCAAATTCCCAAACCATCCGACATCCCACAATTCTTCCATTTGCTTTCCTGTGCACCTTCTTAAACCATCCGACATTTCGTTATCTTCCTTTTGTTTTCGATGTCCTGTGCGCCTTAAATTCCCAAACCATCCGACATCCGTTCACACAAGCTATCTTCTTTGCTTTTCGATGTCCTGTGCTAAATTCTTAAACCATTCCCAAACCATTTCCGACATCCCGTTCTTAAATTCTAAACCATGACATCCGTTATGTTCCCTTTGCTTTCGATATGTCCTGAAATCTTAAATTCCTAAACCATCCGACATCCGTTCACACTATCTTTTCCTTTGCTTTCGGATATGTCCTGTGCGCCTTAAATTCCCCAAACCATCCGACATCCGTTCACACAAGCTATCTTCCTTTTGCTTTCGATGTCCCAGCAACTTAAATTCCCAAAACCATCCGACATCCGTCACACAAGCTATCTTCCTTTTGCTTCTGATGTCCTGTGCGCCTTAAATTTCAAAACCATCTGACATCCGTTCACAAGCTATTTTCCTTTGCTTTCGATATGTCCTGTGCACCTAAATTCCCAAACCATCCGACATCCGTTCACACAAGCTATCTTCCTTTGCTTTCGATATGTCCTGTAACTTTAAATTCCCCAAACCATCCGACATCCGTTCACACAAGCTATCTTCCTTTGCTTTCGATGTCCTGTGCGCCTTTAAATTCTAAACCATCTGGACATCCGTTCACAAGCTTCTTGTTTTTTGCTTTTCCGATCCCAGTGCTTTAAATTCCCAAAACCATCCGACATCCGTTCACACAACTATCTTCCTTTGCTTTCGATGTCCGGTGCGCCTTAAATTCCCCAAACCATCCGACATCCGTTCACACAAGCTATCTTCCTTTTTGCTTTTGATGTCCTGCGCGCCTTTAAATTCCCCAAACCATCCGACATCCGTTCACAAGCTATCTTCCTTTTGCTTTCGATGTCCTGTGCACCTTAGTTTCCAAACCATCCGACATCCGTTCAAGCTATCTTCTTTTGCTTTTGATGTCCCGTGCGCCTTTAAATTCCTAAACCATCCGACATCCGTTCACAATCTTCCTTGCTTTCGCTATTCTAAACCATTTCGCGTTATTTCGATATGTAACCTGCGCCTTAAATTCCCCAAACCACATCCGACATCCGTTCACAAGCTATCTTCCTTTTGCTTTTCGATATGTCCTGTGCACTCTTAAATTCCCAAACCATCGCTGACATCCCGCTATCTTCCTTTCTTTCGATATGTCCTGTGCACCTCTCAAACCATCCGACATTTCTTCCTTGCTTTCGATGTCCTGTGCCTTAAATTCAAACCATCGACATCCGTTTTAAGCTATCTTCTTTGCTTTCGATGTCCTGTGCGCCTTAAATTCCCAAACCATCCGACATCCGTTCCACACAACTATCTTCCTTTTTCTCGATATGTCCCAGTAACCTTTAAATTCCCAAAACCATCCGACATCCGTTCCTTTGTAAGCTATCTTCTCTTTTGCTTTCGATGTCCTGTGCGCTTAAATTCCCCAAACCATCTGACATCCGTTCATAAAGCTATCTTTCTTTTGCTTTGATATGTCCTGTGCAACTTTAAAATTTAAACCATCCGACATCCGTTCACGTTATCCGTTCATGTCACAAGCTGTCTTAAACCATCCGACATTTCACAATAAGCATCTTTTTTTTGCTTGATGTCCTGTGCGCCCAAATTCTAAACCATCGACATCCGTTCACAAGCTATCTTTCCTTTTGCTTTGATGTCCTGTGCGCTTTAAATTCTAAACCATCTGACATCCGTTCACACAAGCTATCTTCTTTTGCTTTTCGATGTCCTGTTGCCTTAAATTCCCAAACCATCCGACATCCGAACCATTGCCATCTTCCTTTTGCTTTCGTGATATGTCCTGTGCGCCTTAAATTCCCCAAACCATCCGGACATCCGTTCAAGCTATCTTTCCTTTTGCTTTCGATATGTCCTGTGCGCTTAAATTCCCCTAAACCATCGACATCCGTTCAAGCTATCTATCTTCCTTTTGCTGATGTCCTGTGCGCCTTAAATTCCCAAAACCATCTGACATCCGTTCACACACGTTATCTTTCCATTTGCTTTTCGATGTCCTGTGCGCCTTTAAATTTAAACCATCCGACATCCGTTCACACAAGCTATCTTCCTTTTGCTTTCGATGTCCCTGTGCGCCTTAAATTCCCCAAAACCATCGACATCCGTTCACACAAGCTATCTTCCTTTGCTTTCGATGTCCTGTGCTGTAAATTCCCAAACCATCCGGACATCATCGTATCTTCCTTTCGCTTTCGATATGTCCTGCGCTCAAATTCCCCAAACCATCCGACATCATCCGTTCCACAAGCTTCTTCCATTTTGCTTTTCAATATCGTGCACCTAAATTCCCAAACCATCCGACATCCGTTCACACAAGTATCTTCCTTTGTTTTCGATGTCCTGTGCGCCTTAAATTCCCAAACCATCCGACATCCGTTCACACGTTATCTTCCTTTGTTGATATGTCCTGTGCACCTTAAATTCCCCAAACCATCTGACATCCGTTCACCACGCTATCTTCCTTTGCTTTCGATATGTCCAGATGTCTGTTCCCCAAACCATCCGACATTCCCAAACCATTGATGTCCTGTGCGCTCTGAATTCTAAACCATCCGACATCCGTTTCCTTTGCTTTCGATGTCCCGTGCGCTTTAAATTCCCAAACCATCCGACATCTGTTCACATTAAAGCTATCTTCCTTTCGCTTTCGATATGTCCTGTGCGCCTTTAAATTCCCCAAACCATCCGACATCCGTTCACACAAGCTATCTTCCTTTGCTTTTCTGATATGTCCCCAGTGCCTTAAATTCCCCAAACCATGTCCTGTGCTTTCGATGTCCGCAGGTGCCTTAAATTCCCAAAACCATCCTGACATCCGTTCACACAAGCTATCTTCATTTGCTTTCGATGTCCCGTGCGCCTTAAATTCCCAAACCATCCGACATCCGTTCACACAAGCTATCTTCCTTTGCTTTCGATGTCCTGTGTTCGCTTCAAATTTCCCTAAACCATCCGACATCCGTTCACACAAGCTATCTTCCTTTGCTTGCTGATGTCCATTGCGCCTTTAAATTCTAAAACCATCCGATCCGTTCACTGCTATCTTCCTGCTTTCGATATGTCCTGCGCCTTAAATTTCAAACCATCCGACATCCGTCACCTGATATGTCCTGTGCACCTTAAATTCCCTTCATCTGCATCCGTTCACACAAGCTATCTTCCTTTGCTTTCGATGTCCCGTGCCTTAAATTCCCAAACCATCCGACATCCGTTTCATTGCTATCTTCCTTTTGATGTCCTGTGCGCCTTAAATTCTTAAACCATCCGACATCCGTTCATTATTGCTATTTTCGATGTCCTGTGCCTTTAAATTCTTTCCGACATTTTGCCATTCTTCCATTTGCGCTTTCAATATGTCCTGTGCGCTTTAAATTCCCTAAACCATCCGACATCCGTTCATTAATAAGCTATCTTCCTTTGTTTTCGATGTCCTGCGCCTTAAATTCTAAACCATCAAACATCCGTTCACAAGCTATCTTCCTTTTTTGCTTTCGATGTCCTGTGCGCCATTAAATTTCAAACCATCCGACATCCGTTCACACAAGCTATCTCCTTTTGCTTCGATGTCCTGCGCCTAAATTCCCCAAACCATCCGACATCCGTTCCGCTATCTTCCTTTTGCTTTCGATGTCCTGCGCCTTAAATTCCCCAAACCATCCGGACATCCGTTCGATATCTTCCCTTTTTTTTTCATGATGTCCTGTGCGCTTTAAATTCAAAACCATCTGACATCCGTTCTGAAAGCTATCTTCCTTTTGCTTTCGATGTCCTGTTGCGCCTTAAATTCCCCAAACCATCTGGACATCCGTTCACACAAAGTTATCTTTCCTTTTGCAAATATGTCTGTGCGCCTTAAATTTCAAACCATCCGACATCCGTTCACTAAGCTATCTTCCATTTGCTTTCGATGTCCTGCGTGCCTTAAATTCTAAACCATCCGACATCCGTCATTGGCTGCTTACATTCTCCTTTGCTTTCGATGTCCTGTGCGCCTTAAATTCCCAAAAACCATCCGTTCACACAACATCCGTTCACACAAGCTATCTTTTGCTTTCGATGTCCTGCGCCTTTAAATTCCCAAACCATCCGACATCCGTTCACACAAGCTATCTTCCTTTGCTTTCGATATGTCCTGTGCGCCTTAAATTCTAAACCATCTGACATCACCACACAAGCTATCTTCTTTTTGCTTTGATATGTCCCAGTGCCTTTAAATTCCCCAAACCATCCGACATCCGTTCACAAGTTATCTTCCTTTATTGATGTTGCCTTTCGATGTCCTGTGCATAAAGCCTTAAGCGTCCTGTGCACCCAATTCTTAAACCATCCGCTGGACATCCGTTCACACGTTATCTTCCTTTTGCTTTCGATATGTCCTGTGCACCTTAAATTCTTAAAACCATCCGACATCCGTTCACACAAGCTATCTTCCTTTTTGCTTTCGATGTCCCTGTGCCTTAAATTCTAAACCATCCGACATCCGTTCACAAGCTATCTTTTGTTGATGTCCTGCGCCTTAAATTCCCAAAACCATCCGACATCCGTTCACACGCTATCTTCCTTTTGCTTTCGATGTCCCGTGCGCCTTTAAATTCCCCAAACCATCCGACATCCGTTCAAGCTATCTTCCTTTGCTTTCGATGTCCCGTGCGCCTTAAATTCCCAAAACCATCCGACATCCGTTCACACAAGCTTTATCTTCCTTTTGCTTTCGATGTCCCAGTGCCTTAAATTCCCCAAACCATCAAACATCCGTTCACACAAGCTATCTTCCTTTCGATGTCCCTTGCGCCTTAAATTCCCCAAATCCATCCGACATCCGTTCCTGTGCTACCTTAAACAGTCCCCCAAACCATCCGACATCCGTTCACGTTATCTTCCTTTTTGCTTTCGATGTCCTGTGCGCCTTTAAATTCAAAACCATCCGACATCCGTTCACACAAGCTATTTTCTCCTTTTGTTGATGTTCCAAAGCGCCTTTAAATTCCCTAAACCATCCGACATCCGTTCACACAAGCTATCTTCCTTTTGTCCTGTGCGCCTTTGATCCCCAAACCATCCGACATCCCGCCATCTTCCTTTGCGATGTCCCTTTAAATTCCCCAAACCATCCGACATCCGTTCACACAAGCTATATCTTCCTTTGCTTTCGATGTCCTGTGCGCCTTAAATTCCCCCAAACCATCCGCTGACATCCGTTCACACAAGTTATTCTTTTGCTTTCGATGTCCCAGTGCCTTAAATTCCAAACCAAATCCGTTCCGACTTTCTTTCGATATGTCCTGTGTCAAACCCCAAACCATCCGACACATCCGTCTGCAATAATATCTTCTCCTTTGCTTTCGATGTCCTGTGCGCCTTAAATTCCCCAAAACCATCTGACATCCGTTCACACAAGCCATCTTCCTTTTGCTTTCGATGTCCTGTGCGCCTTAAATTTCAAACCATCCGACATCCACCACAAGCTTATCTTCTCTTATGGCTTTGATTCCTGTGCCCAAAACCATCCGACATCCGTTCACACAAGCTATCTTCCATTTGCTTTCAATATGTCCTGTGCGCCTTAAATTCCCCAAACCATCCGACATCCGTTCACACAAGCTATCTTCCTTGCTTTCTTGATAACCCAGGTGCCTTAAATTCCCCTAAACCATCCGACATCCGTCTGCCACGCTATCTTCCTTTTGCTTGATGTCCCAAAGGGCCCAATTCCCCAAACCATCCGACATCCGTTCACAAGCCATCTTCCTTTTGCTTTCGATGTCCCAGTGCCTTAAATTCCCAAACCATCCGACATCCGTTCACAAGCTATCTTCCTTTTGCTTTCGATATGTCCTGTGCACCTTTAAATTTCAAACCATCCGACATCCGTTCACACAAGCTATCTTCCTTGCTTTCAGATGTCCTGTGCGCCTTAAATTCCCCAACCATCCGACATCCGTTCACATTAAGCTATCTCCTTTTGCTTGATGTCCCAGCCTTAAATTCCCCTAAACCATCCGACATCCGTTCACACAAGCTACTTCCTTGCTTTCAGCGTCCTGTGCGCCTTAAATTCCCCAAACTATCCGACATCCGTTCACATTGTAAGCTATCTTCCATTTGCTTTACGATGTCCTGTGCGCCTTAAATTCCAAACCATCCGACATCCGTTCACACAAGCTATCTTCCTTTTGCTTTCGATGTCCTGTGCGCCTTAAATTCCCAAAACCATCCGACATCCGTTCACGTTTATCTTCCTTTTTGCTTTCGATGTCCTGTGCGCCTTAAATTCTTAAAACCATCCGACATCCGTTCACACAAGCTATCTTCCTTTTGCTTTCGATGTCCCGTGCGCCTTAAATTCCCCAAACCATCCGACATCCGTTCACACAAGCTATCTTCCTTTTGCTTTCGATATGTCCTGTGCACCTTAAATTCCCCAAACCATCCGACATCCGTTCACACAAGCTATCTTCCTTTTGCTTTCGATGTCCTGTGCGCCTTAAATTCCCCAAACCATCCGACATCCGTTCCAAGACATGTCCGCCTTAAATTCCCCAAACCATCCGACATCCGTTCACAGCTATCTTCCTTTTGCTTTGATGTCCTGTGCGCCTTAAATTCCCAAAAACCATCCGACATCCGTTCACACAGCTATCCGATGTCCTGTGCGCCTTAAATTCCCCAAACCATCCGACATCCGTTCACACAAGCTATCTTCCTTTTGCTTTCGATGTCCTGTGCGCCTTAAATTCCCAAAACCATCCGACATCCGTTCACACAAGCTATCTTCCTTTTTGCGTGTTTCGATATGTCCTTTTTGTGCGCCTTAAATTCCCCAAACCATCCGACATCCGTTCACACAAGCTATCTTCCTTTTGCTTTCGATGTCCTGTGCGCCTTAAATTCCCCAAAACCATCCGACATCCGTTCACACAAGCTATCTTCCTTTTGCTTTCGATGTCCTGTGCCTTAAATTCCCCAAACCATCCGACATCCGTTCACACAAGCTATCTTCCATTTGCTTTCGATATGTCCTGTGCGCCTTAAATTCCCAAAACCATCGACATCCGTTAAATTCCCCGAAACCATCCGACATCCGTTCACAAGCTATCTTCCTTTTGCTTGATGTTGCGCCTTAAATTCCCAAACCATCCGACATCCGTTCACACAAGCTATCTTCCTTTTGCTTTCGATGTCCTGTGCGCCTTTAAATTCCCCAAACCATCCGACATCCGTTCACAAGCTATCTTCCTTTTGCTTTCGATGTCCTGTGCGCCTTAAATTCCCAAACCATCCGACATCCGTTCCGACTTTTATCTTCTTTTTGCTATCTTCGATGTCCCTGTGCGCCTTAAATTCCCCAAACCATCCGACATCCGTTCCTATCTTCCTTTTTGCTTTCGATGTCCCAAACCATCCGACATCCGTTCACACAAGCTATCTTCCTTTTTTGCTTTCGATGTCCTGTGCGCCTTAAATTCCCCAAAACCATCCGACATCCGTTCACACAAGCTATCTTCCTTTTGCTTTCGATGTCCTGTGCGCCTTAAATTCCCCAAACCATCCGACATCCGTTCACAACTTTTTTGCTTTCGATGTCCGTGCGCCTTAAATTCTCTAAACCATCCGACATCCGGTTCACAAGCTATCTTCTTTTGCTGATGTCCTGTGCGCCTTAAATTCCCAAACCATCCGACATCCGTTCACACAAGCTATCTTCCTTTTTGTTGATATGTCCTGTGTAACTTTAAATTTCTAAACCATCTGACATCCGTTCACAGCAAGCTATCTTCCTTTGCTTTTCGATGTCCTGTGCGCCTTAAATTCCCAAACCATCCGACATCCGTTCACACAAGCTATCTTCCTTTGCTTTCGATGTCCCGTGCGCCTTAAATTCCCAAACCATCCGACATCCGTTCACACAAGTTATCTTCCTTTTTGCTTTCGATGTCCCAGTGCCTTAAATTCCCCAAACCATCCGGACATCCGTTCACACAAGTTATCTTCCTTTTGATTTCGATATGTCCTGTGCGCTTTAAATTCCCAAAACCATCTGACATCCGTTCACACAAGCTATGTTCCTTTTGCTTCGATGTCCTGGTGCGCCTTAAATTCCCCAAACCATCCGACATCCGTTCACACAAGCTATCTTCCTTTTTGTTTTCGATGTCCTGTGCGCCTTAAATTCCCAAAACCATCCGACATCCACACCACATGTTTATTCCTTGCTTTCGATGTCCTGTGCGCCCAATTCCCCAAACCATCTTGACATCCGTTCACACAAGCTATCTTCCTTTGCTTGATCTTCCCTTTGATTTCGACATCCGTTCACACAAGCTATCTTAAACCCCCTAAACCATCCGACATCCGTTCACAAGCTTATCTTCCTTTGCTTTCGATGTCCTGTGCGCCTTAAATTGCCAAACCATCCGACATCCGTTCACAAGTTTATCTTCCTTTGCTTTCTGATGTCCTGCATTTTAAATTCCCCAAACCATCCGACATCCGTTCACAAGCTATCTTCCTTTTGCTTGACATGTCCTGTGCGCCTTTAGAATTCCCTAAAACCATCCGACATCCGTTCACATGTTTATCTTCCTTGCTTTTCGATGTCCTGCGCCAAATTCCCCAAACCATCCGACATCCGTTCACACAAGCTTATCTTCCTTTTGATTTCGATGTCCTGTGCGCCTTAAATTCTTAAAACCATCCGACATCCGTTCACAAGCTATCTTCCTTTTGCTTTGATATGTCCTGTGCGCCTTAAATTCCCAAAACCATCCGACATCCGTTCACACAAGCTATCTTCCTTTTGATTTCGATGTCCTGGTGCGCCTTAAATTCTAAAACCATCCGACATCCGTTCACAAGTTTATCTTCCTTTTGCTTTCGATGTCCTGTGCGCCTTAAATTCCCAAAACCATCCGACATCCGTTCACACAGTTTATCTTCCTTTTTTTCGATGTCCTGTGCGCCTTAAATTCCCAAAACCATCCGACATCCGTTCACAAGCTGATATTCCTTTCAAACCATTCGATGTCCTGTGCGCCTTAAATGTCCTGTGCCCAAACCATCCGACATCCGTTCACACAAGCTATCTTCCTTGCTCGATGTCCTGTGCGCCTTAAATTCTCAAACCATCCGACATCCGTTCACACAAGCTATCTTCCTTTTCGCTCGATGTCCTGTGCGCCTTAAAACCCCAAACCATCCGACATCCCGGTTCACAAGCTATCTTCCTTTTGCTTCGATGTCCTGTGCGCCTTAAATTCCCTAAACCATCCGACATCCGTTCACACAAGCTATCTTCCTTTTGCTTTCCGATGTCCTGTGCGCCTTAAATTTCCAAACCATCCGACATCCGTTCACACAAGCTATCTTCCATTTGATTTCGATGTCCTGTGCGCCTTAAATTCCCAAAACCATCTGACATCCGTTCACACAAGCTATCTTCCTTTTGATTTGATGTCCTGTGCGCCTTAAATTCCCCAAACCATCCGACATCCGTTCACACAAGCTATCTTCCTTTTTGCTTTCGATGTCCTGTGCGCCTTTTAAATTCCCAAACCATCCGACATCCGTTCACACAAGCTATCTTCCTTTTTGCTTTCGATGTCCTGTGCGCCTTTAAATTCCCAAAACCATCTTGACATCCGTTCACACAAGCTATCTTCTTTTGCTTTCGATGTCCCCAGCGCCTTAAATTCCCCCAAACCATCCGACATCCGTTCACACGAGCTATCTTCTTTTGATTTGATGTCCTGTGCGCCTTAAATTCCCAAACCATCCGACATCCGTTCACACAAGCTATCTTCCTTTTTGCTTTGGATGTCCCGTGCGCCTTAAATTCCCCAAACCATCCGACATCCGTTCACACAAGCTATCTTCCTTTTTGCTTTCGATGTGCCCGTGCGCCTTAAATTCCCCCAAACCATCCGACATCCGTTCACACAAGCTATCTTCCTTTTTTTGCTTTCGATGTCCTGTGCGCCTTAAATTCCCCAAACCATCCGACATCCGTTCACATAAGCCATCTTCCTTTTGCTTTCGATGTCCTGTGCGCCTTAAATTCCCAAAAACCATCCGACATCCGTTCACACAAGCTATCTTCCTTTTGCTTTCGATGTCCTGTGCGCCTTAAATTCCCAAAAACCATCCGACATCCGTTCACACAAGCTATCTTCCTTTTGCTTTCGATGTCCCGTGCGCCTTAAATTCCCCAAACCATCCGACATCCGTTCACACAAGCTATCTTCCTTTTGTTTTGATATCCCGTGTGCCTTAAATTCTTAAACCATCCGACATCCGTTCACACCGTTAATTTTTCCGATGTCCTGTGCGCCTTAAATTCCAAAAACCATCCGACATCCGTTCACACAAGCTATCTTCCATTTGCTTTCGATGTCCTGTGCGCCTTAAATTTCCCAAACCATCCGACATCCGTTCACACAAGCTATCTTCCATTTGCTTTCGATGTCCTGTGCGCCTTAAATTCCCAAACCATCCGACATCCGTTCACACAAGCTATCTTCCTTTGCTTTCGATGTCCTGTGCGCCTTAAATTCAAACCATCCGACATCCGTTCCCAAACCTTTCCGATGACATCCGTTCCTAAACCATCCGACATCCGTTCACACAAGCTATCTTCCTTCGCTTGATATGTCCTGTGCGCTTTAAATTCCCAAACCATCCGACATCCGTTCACACAAGCTATCTTCCTTTGTTTTCGATCTTAAATTTAAACCATCCGACATTTGCTTTCCATTTGATATGTCCCGTGCGCCTTAAATTCCCAAACCATCCGACATCCGTTCACAAGCTATCTTCCTTTCGCTTTCGATATGTCCTGTGCGCCTTAAATTTCTAAAACCATCCGACATCCGTTCACAGCCATCTTCCATTTCCATTGATGTCCTGTGCCTTTTAAATTCCCAAAACCATCCGACATCCGTTCACACGTTATCTTCCTTTCAGTTTCTTTGATGGCGTCCTGTGCGCCTTAAATTCTTAAAACCATCTGACATCCGTTCTGCCACAAGCTATCTTCCTTTGATTTCGATATGTCCAGCGCGTTAAATTTCTAAACATCCGACATCCGTTCTACACAAGCTATGTTCCTTTTGGTTGATATGTCCTGTGCGCCTTAAATTCCCAAAACCATCCGACATCCGTTCACATGCCATCTTCCTTTGCTTGATATGTCCCAGCCTTAAATTCTAAACCATCCGACATCCGTTCACGCTATCTTCCTTTGATTTCGATATGTCCTGCGCCTTTAAATCTCAAACCATCCGACATCTGTTCACACAAGCTATCTTCCTTTGCTTTCGATGTCCTGTGCCTTTAAATTCAAACCATCCGACATCCGTTCACACTTTAAGTGCCTTAAATCTTAAACCATCCGGACATCCGTTTCCATTTGCTTTCGATAACCCCAGGCGCCTTAAATTCCCTAAACCATCCGACATCCGTTCACACGTTATCTTCCTTTTGCTTTCGATGTCCTCAAGGCCTTAATTCAAACCATCCGACATCCGTTCACACAAGCTATCTTCCCTTTCGCTTTCGATATGTCCCAGTGCCTTAAATTCCCCAAACCATCCGGACATCCGTTCACATTGCTTATCTTCCTTTGCTTGATATGTCCGTGCGCCTTAAATTCTCTAAACCATCTGACATCCGTTCGTTGTAAGCTATCTTCCTTTGCTTTGATGTCCCGTGCGCTTTAAATTCCAAAACCATCCGACATCCGTTCACGTTATCTTCCTTTTTGCTTTTCGATGTCCTGTGCGCTTTAAATTCTAAACCATCCGACATCCGTTCACACAAGCTATCTTCCATTTGCTTTGATGTCCCGTGCGCCTTAAATTCTAAACCATCCGACATCCGTTCACAAGCTTATTTCCTTTGCTGATATGTCCTGTGCCTTTAAATTCCCAAACCATCCGACATCCGTTCGCACGTTATCTTCCTTGCTTTTGATGTCCCAGTGCCTTAAATTTCAAACCATCCGACATCCGTTCATTGTTATCTCCTTGCTGATATGTCCTGTGCGCCTTAAATTCCCTAAACCATCCGACATCCGTTCACACAAGCTATCTTCCTTTGCTTTCGATATGTCCTGTGCGCCTTAAATTCTCAAACCATCCGACATCCGTTCATACTGCTATATCTTCCCTTGCTTTGATGTCCCAGCGCCTTAAATTAAAACCATCCGACATCCGTTCACACAAGTTATCTTCCTTCCATTTGATGTCCTGCGCCTTAAATTCCAAAACCATCCGACATCCGTTCACAAGCTATCTTCCTTTTGCTTTCGATATGTCCTGTGCGCCTTAAATTCCTAAAACCATCTGACATCCGTTCACAAGTTTATCTTCCTTTTGCTGATGTCCAGCGCCTTAAATTCCCCAAACCATCTGACATCCGTTCACACAAGTTATCTTCCTTTCGCTTTCGATATGTCCTGTGCGCTTTAAATTCCCCAAACCATCTGGACATCCGTTCCGCCATCTTCCTTTCGCTTTCGATATGTCCTCTGTAGCCTTAAATTCTCAAACCATCCGACATCCGTTTTGCTATCTTCCTTTTTGCTTTCGATGTCCCAGTGCGCTTTTAAATTCCTAAAACCATCCGACATCCGTTCACACAAGCTTATCTTCCTTTCGCTTTCGATATCCTGTGCGCCTTAAATTCCTAAACCATCCGACATCCGTTCACACAAGCTTATCTTCCTTTGCTTTCGATGTCCTGTGCGCCTTTAAATTCCCCAAACCATCCGACATCCGTTCACACAAGCTATCTTCCTTTCTGCTTTCGATATGTCCTGTGCGCCTTAAATTCTAAACCATCCGACATCCGTTCACACAAGCATCTTCCTTTGCTTTCGATGTCCTGTGCGCCTTAAATTCCCAAACCATCCGACATCCGTTCACACAAGCCATCTTCCTTTCGCTTTCGATATGTCCCAGTGCCTTAAATTCCCCAAACCATCCGACATCCGTTCACAATAAGCTATCTTCCTTTTTGCTTTCGATATGTCCTGTGCGCCTTAAATTCCCAAACCATCCGACATCCGTTCACACAAGCTATCTTCCTTTGCTTTTTCGATGTCCCAGTAGCGCCTAAATTCCCCAAACCATCCGACATCCGTTCACATTGGCTATCTTCCTTTCGCTTTCGATATGTCCTGTGCGCTTAAATTCCCAAACCATCCGACATCCGTTCACAAGTTATCTTCCTTTTTGTTTTCGATGTCCTGTGCGCCTTAAATTCCCAAAACCATCCGACATCCGTTCACACAAGCTATCTTCCTTTTGCTTTCGATGTCCTGTGCGCCTTAAATTCCAAAAACCATCTGACATCCGTTCACACGTTTTTTATCTTCCTTTTGCTTTCGATGTCCTGTGCGCCTTAAATTCCCAAACCATCCGACATCCGTTCACACTTATCATCTTCCTTTGCTTTCGATATGTCCTGTGCGCTTTAAATTCCCCAAACCATCTGACATCCGTTCACACAAGCCATCTTCCTTTTGCTTTCGATATGTCCTGTGCGCCTTAAATTCCCAAACCATCTGACATCCGTTCACAAGCTATCTTCCTTTTGCTTTCGATGTCCGTGTGCGCCTTAAATTCCCTAAACCATCCGACATCCGTTCACACAAGTTTATCTTCCTTTTGCTTTCGATGTCCAGTACCTTTAAATTCCCCAAACCATCCTGACATCCGTTCACAACTTTTATCTTCCTTTGCTTTCGATGTCCTGTGCGCCTTTAAATTCTAAAACCATCCGACATCCGTTCACAAGCTATCTTCCTTTCGCTTTGATATGTCCTGTGCGCCGAAATTCCCAAAACCATCCGACATCCGTTCACTGCTTGTTATCTTCCTTTCGCTTTCGATATGTCCCGTGCGCCTTAAATTTCAAACCATCCGACATCCGTTCACAGCTTTATCTTCCTTTTTGCTTTCGATGTCCTGTTTTAAATTCCCAAACCATCCGACATCCGTTCACAAGCTATCTTCCTTTGCTTTCGATATGTCCTGTGTGCCTTAAATTCCCAAACCATCCGACATCCGTTCACACAAGCTTTTTATCTTCCTTTGCTTTCGATGTCCTGTGCGCCTTAAATTCCCCAAAAACCATCCGACATCCGTTCACACAAGCCATCTTCCTTTTTTTTTCGATGTCCTGTGCGCCTTTGAATTTAAAAAACCATCCGACATCCGTTCACAAGCTATCTTCCTTTCGCTTGATATGTCCTGTAACCTTAAATTCCTAAACCATCCCGACATCCGTTCACACGTTTATCTTCTTTGCTTTGGGATGTCCTGTGCGCCTTAAATTCCCCAAACCATCCGACATCCGTTCACACAGCTATCTCCTTGTTTTCGATATATCTTGCGCCTTTTCCCCAAACCATCCGATCCGTTCCTGCTATCTTGCTTCGCTTTCGATATGTCCCGTGCGCCTTAAATTTCAAACCATCCGACCTCCGTTCACATTGCTATATCTTTCCTTGCTTTCGATGTCCTGTGCACCAAATTCCCAAAACCATCCGACATCCGTTCACACAAGCTATCTTCCTTTGCTTTCGATGTCCTGTGCACCTTAAATTCTAAAACCATCCGACATCCGTTCACACAAGCTATCTTCCATTTGCTTTCAATATGTCCTGTGCGCCTTAAACCCAAACCATCCGACATCCGTTCACACAAGCTTATCTTCCATTTGCTTTCGATATGTCCTCCAGCAACTTTAAATTCCCCAAACCATCCGGCATCCGTTCACAAGCTATCTTCCTTTTGCTTTCGATGTCCAGTGCCTAAAATTCCTAAACCATCCGACATCCGTTCACACAAGCTTATCTTCCTTTTGCTTTCGATGTCCTGTGCACCTTTAAATTCTAAACCATCCGACATCCACCACACAAGCCATCTTCCTTTTTGCTTTGATGTCCCAGCGCCTTTAAATTCCCAAACCATCCGACATCCGTTCGTTTTTTATCTTCCTTTGCTTTCGATATGTCCTGTGCGCCTTAAATTCCAAACCATCCGACATCCGTTCACATAAGCTTTATCTTCCTTTTGCTTTCGATGTCCTGTGCGCCTTAAATTCTAAACCATCCGACATCCGGTTCAGTGTTTTTATCTTCCTTTGCTTGATATATGTCCTGTGCGCTTTAAATTCCCAAACCATCCGACATCCGTTCACACAAGCTATCTTCCTTGCTTTGATGTGTCCTGTGCGCCTTAAATTCCCCAAACCATCCGACATCCGTTCACATGTTTATCTTCCATTTGCTTTCGATGTCCCAGTAATCTTTAAATTCCCAAAACCATCTGACATCCGTTCACACAAGCTATCTTCCTTTTTGCTTTCGATGTCCAGTGCACCTTAAATTCTCAAAACCATCCGACATCCGTTCACATTGCTTTATCTTCCTTTTGCTTTCGATGTCCTTGCGCGCTTTAAATTCCCAAAACCATCCGACATCCGTTCACGGGGCGCTATCTTCCATTTGCTTTCGATATGTCCTGTGCGTGCCTTAAATCAAAACCATCCGACATCCGTTCACATAAGCTTATCTTCCATTTGCTTTCAATATGTCCCAAATTTAAATTCCCCAAACCATCCGACATCCGTTCACACAAGCTTATCTTCCTTTTTTTCGATGTCCTGTGCGCTTTAAATTCCCAAACCATCCGACATCCGTTCACACAAGCTATCTTCCTTTTGCTTTGATGTCCTGTGTGCCTTAAATTCTTTAAACCATCTGACATCCGTTCACATGTTTTATGTTCCATTTGCTTTCAATGATATGTCCTGTGCGCCTTTAAATTCTTAAAACCATCCGACATCCGTTCACACAAGCTATCTTCCTTTTTGCTTTCGATGTCCTGTGCACCTTAAATTTAAACCATCCGACATCCAAACCACACAAGCTATCTTCCTTTTGCTTTGATGTCCTGTGCACCTAAATTCTAAACCATCCGACATCCGTTCACACAAGCTATCTTCCTTTGCTTTCGATGTCCTGTGCGCCTTTAAATTCCCCAAACCATCCGACATCCGTTCACACAAGCTTATCTTCCTTTCGCTTTGATATGTCCCAGGCCTTAAATTTCCAAACCATCCGACATCCGTTCACATGCTTTATCTTCCATTTTGCTTTCGATGTCCTGTGCACTTAAATTCCCAAAACCATCCGACATCCGTTCACATTGCTATCTTCCTTTTTGCTTTGATGTCCAGCGCCTTAAATTCTAAACCATCCGACATCCGTTCACACAAGCTATCTTCCTTTGCTTTTCGATGTCCCAGTGCCTTAAATTCCCCTAAAACCATCCGACATCCGTTCACAAGCTATCTTCCTTTTTGCTTTTCGATGTCCTGTGCGCCTTAAATTCCCCAAACCATCCGACATCCGTTCGCCAAGCTATCTTCCATTTGCTTTCGATCGATGTCCTGTGCACCTTAAATTCCCAAACCATCCGACATCCGTTCGGTTATCTTATCTTTTGCTTTGATGTCCCAGTGCGCCTTAAATTTAAACCATCCGACATCCGTTCACACAAGTTATCTTCATTTGCTTTCATTATGTCCTGTGCACCTTAAATTCCAAACCATCCGACATCCGTTCACACAAGCTTACATGTCCGTTCTTTAAATTTCTAAACCATCTGACATCCGTTCATTGCTTATCTTCCTTTGCTTTCGATGTCCTGTGCGCCTTAAATTCCCCAAACCATCCGACATCCGACATCCGTCTTCCTTTTGCTATCTTCCAAATTCCAAAAAACCATTTATCTTTCCTTTGTCCCAGCGCTTTAAATTTCAAACCATCCGACATCCGTTCACACAAGCTATGTTCCTTTTGCTTTGATGTCCTGTGCACCTTAAATTCCCAAAAACCATCCGACATCCGTTCACATTGCTTATCTTCCTTTTGCTTTTGATGTCCTGTGCGCCCTTAAATTCTCTAAACCATCCGACATCCGTTCACATTGCTATCTTCCTTTTTGCTTTCGATATGTCCTGCACCTTAAATTCCCAAACCATCCGACATCCGTTCACAGCTATCTTCATTTGCTTTGATGTCCTGTGCGCCTTAAATTCCAAACCATCCGACATCCGTTGCTTTATCTTCCATTTGCTTTTTGATATGTCCTGTGCACCTTAAATTCCCCAAAACCATCCGACATCCGTTCACACAAGCTATCTTCCATTTGCTTTCGATATGTCCTGTGCGCCTTAAATTCCAAACCATCCGACATCCGTTCACACAAGCTATCTTCCTTTTGCTTTCGATGTCCTGTGCCTTAAATTCCCAAACCATCCGACATCCGTTCACACAAGTTATCTTTCCTTTATGATGTGCGCCTTAAATTCCCCAAACCATCCGACATCCGTTCACACAAGCTATCTTCCTTTGCTTGATGTCCTGTGCACCTTAAATTCCCCTAAACCATCCGACATCCGTTCACACAAGCTATCCATCTTCCTTTTTGTTTTCGATATGTCCTGTGCATTTTTAAATTCTAAACCATCCGACATCCGTTCACAAGCTATCTCCTTTTGCTTTGATATGTCCTGTGCACCTTAAATTCCTAAACCATCCGACATCCGTTCACAAGCTATCTTCCTTTTGCTTTGATATGTCCTGTGCACCTTAAATTCCCCCAAACCATCCGACATCCGTTCACACAAGCTATCTTCCTTTTGCTTTCCGATGTCCCAAAAGTAATTTTGAAATTCTAAACCATCCGACATCCGTTCACACAAGCTATCTTCCATTTGATATGTCCTGTGCACCTTAAATTCCCAAACCATCCGACATCCGTTCACACAAGTTATCTTCCTTTTTGCTTTCGATATGTCCCAGTAACCTTTAAATTTCAAACCATCCGACATCCGTTCACAAGCTATCTTCCATTTGCTTTGATATGTCCTGTGCGCCTTTAAATTCTAAACCATCCGACATCCGTTCACAAGCTATCTTCCTTTTTGCTTTCTGATATGTCCCAGTAACCTTAAATTCCCCAAACCATCCGACATCCGTTCACACAAGCTATCTTTCCTTTTGCTTGATATGTCCTGTGCACCTTAAATTCTTAAACCATCCGACATCCGTTCACACAAGCTATCTTCCTTTGCTTGATGTCCTGTGCGCCTTAAATTTCTAAACCATCCGACATCCGTTCACACAAGTGATATCTTCCTTTGACATTTCGATGTCCTGTGATGTCCTTAAATTAACCCTAAACCATCTGACATCCGTTCACACAAGTTATCTTCCATTTGCTTTATATGTCCTGCACCTTAAATTCCCCAAACCATCCGACATCCGTTCACACAAGCTATCTTCCATTTGCTTGATATGTCCTGTGCGCCTTAAATTCCCCAAACCATCCGACATCCGTTCACACAAGCTATCTTCCTTTTGCTTTGATATGTCCTGTGCACCTTAAATTCCCAAACCATCCGACATCCGTTCACACGTTTATCTTCCTTTGCTTTCAATATGTCCCAGTGCACTTTAAATTCTAAACCATCCGACATCCGTTCACACAAGCTATTTTATCTTCTTGCTTTCGATGTCCTGTCTTAAACCATCCGACATCCTTTAAATTCCCCAAACCATCCGACATCCGTTCACACAAGCTATCTTCCTTTTTGCTTTCGATGTCCCGTGCGCCTTAAATTCCCCAAACCATCCGACATCCGTTCAAACCATGACATCCGTTATCTTCCATTTGCTTTGATATGTCCTGTGCGCCTTAAATTCTAAACCATCCGACATCCGTTCACACAAGCTATCTTCCTTTTTTTTGCTTTCGATATGTCCTGTGCGCCTTTAAATTCCCAAACCATCCGACAAACCATCCGACATCCGTTCACACTGAAGCTATCTTCCTTTTTGCTTTCGATGTCCTGTAAAACCTTAAATTCCCCAAACCATCTGACATCCGTTCACACAAGTTATCTTCCTTTGCTTTCGATGTCCTGTGCGCCTTAAATTTCAAACCATCCGACATCCGTTCACACAAGCTATATCTTCCTTTTGCTTTCGATATGTCCAGCACCTTAAATTCCCAAAACCATCCGAAACCATCCGACATCCGTTCGGACATCCAGCACGTTTATCTTCCTTTTTGCTTTCGATGTCCTGTGCACCTTTAAATTCCCAAACCATCCGACATCCGTTCACACAAGCCATCTTCCTTTTGCTTTCGATGTCCTGTGCGCCTTTAAATTCCCCAAACCATCCGACATCCGTTCACACAAGCTATCTTCCTTTTGCTTTGATGTCCTGTGCGCCTTAAATTCCCCAAACCATCCGACATCCGTTCACACAAGCTATCTTCCGTTTTTGCTTTCGATATGTCCTGTGCACCTTAAATTCCCCAAACCATCCGACATCCGTTCATTGCCATCTTCTTTTGCTTTCGATATGTCCTGTAACTTAAAATTCTTAAACCATCCGACATCCGTTCACACAAGCTTTCGATGTCCTTTGCCTTAAATTTCGATGTCCCTTGTTTTCGATGTCCTGTGCACCTTAAATTCAAAACCATCCGACATCCGTTCACACAAGTTATCTTCCTTTTTTGCTTTCGATGTCCTGTGTGCCTTAAATTCCCCAAACCATCCGACATCCGTTCACACAAGCTATCTTCCTTTTTTGCTTTCGATGTCCTGTGCGCCTTTAAATTCCCCAAACCATCCGACATCCGTTCACACAAAGCTATCTTCCTTGCTTTCGATGTCCTGTGCGCCTTAAATTCCCCAAACCATCCGACATCCGTTCACACAAGCTTATCTTCCTTTGCTTTCGATGTCCCAGCACCTTAAATTCCCCAAACCATCCGACATCCGTTCACACAAGCTTATCTTCCTTTGCTTTCGATGTCCTGTGCGCCTTTAAATTCTAAACCATCCGACATCCGTTCACACAAGTTATCTTCCTTTTTGCTTTCGATATGTCCTGTGCGCCTTAAATTCCTAAACCATCTGACATCCGTTCACACAAGTTATCTTCCTTTGCTTTCGATGTCCTGTGCGCCTTAAATTCTAAACCATCCGACATCCGTTCACACAAGCTATCTTCCATTTGCTTTCGATGTCCTGTGCGCCTTAAATTCCCCAAACCATCCGACATCCGTTCACAAGCTATCTTCCTTTTGCTTTCGATGTCCTGTGCGCTTTAAATTCCAAACCATCTGACATCCGTTCACACAAGCTATCTTCCTTTTTTTGATGTCCTGTGCGCTTTTAAATTCCCAAACCATCTTTGACATCCGTTCACAAGCTATCTTCCTTTTGCTTTTCGATATGTCCTCAGGCCTTAAATTCCCTAAACCATCCGACATCCGTTCACACAACTATCTTCCATTTGCTTTTCGATGTCCTGTGCGTTTTAAATTTAAACCATCCGACATCCGTTCCAAGCTATCTTCCTTTTGCTTTCGATGTCCTGTGCGCCTTAAATTCCCCAAACCATCCGACATCCGTTCATTAGCTTATCTTCCTTGCTTGATGTCCCGTGCACTTTAAATTCCCCAAACCATCCGACATCCGTTCACACAAGCTATCTTCCTTTGCTTTCGATATGTCCTGTGCACCTTAAATTCCCAAACCATCCGACATCCACCACAAGCTATCTTCCTTTGCTTTTCGATGTGTCCTGTGCAAAATTCCAAACCATCTGACATCCGTTCACACAAGCCATCCTTTTGCTTTCGATGTCCTGTGCGCCTTAAATTCTAAACTATCCAAACCATCCGACATCCGTTCACACATCCGTTTATCTTCCTTTGCTTTTGATATGTCCTGTGCGCCTTAAATTTCAAACCATCTGACATCCGTTCACAAGCTATCTTCCTTTTGTTTTCGATATGTCCTGTGCGCCTTAAATTCCCAAACCATCTGACATCCGTTCACACAAGCTATCTTCCTTTGCTTTTGATGTCCCAGTGCCTTAAATTCTAAACCATCCGACATCCGTTCACAAGTTATCTTCCTTTTGCTTTTGATGTCCTGTAGCGCCTTAAATTCCAAACCATCCGACATCCGTTCACACAAGCTATCTTCCTTGCTTTTCGATGTCCTGTGCACCTTAAATTCTAAACCATCCGACATCCGTTCACATGAAGCTATCTTATTCCTTTGCTTTCGATATGTCCTGTGCGCCTTTAAATTCGAAAAACATATCCGACATCCGTTCACACAAGCTATCTTCCTTTGCTTTCGATATGTCCTGTGCGCCTTTAAATTTCAAACCATCCGACATCCGTTCACGTTTATCTTCTTTTGCTTTTCGATATGTCCCAGCGCCTTAAATTCCCCAAACCATCCGACATCCGTTCACAAGCTATCTTCTTTTGCTTTCGATGTCCTGTGTAATTTTAAATTCCCCAAACCATCTGACATCCGTTCACACAAGCTATCTTCCTTTGCTTTCGATGTCCTGTGCACCTTAAATTTCAAACCATCCGACATCCGTTCACACAAGCTATCTTCCTTTGCTTTTCGATGTCCTGTGCGCCTTAAATTCTCTAAACCATCCGACATCCGTTCACACAAGCTATCTTCCTTTTGCTTTCGATATGTCCTGTGTGCGCCTTAAATTCCCCAAAACCATCCGACATCCGTTCACACAAGCTATCTTCCTTTTGCTTTCGATGTCCTGTGCGCCTTAAATTCCCTTAAACCATCCGACATCCGTTCACACAAGCTATGTTCCTTTTTTGCTTGATATGTCCTGTGCGCCTTAAATTCCCAAACCATCCGACATCCGTTCACACAAGCTATCTTCCTTTGCTTTCGATGTCCTGTGCGCCTTAAATTCCCAAAACCATCCGACATCCGTTCACACAGCTATCTTCCTCTTTTTGCTTTGATGTCCTGTGCGCCTTAAATTGGGGTAAAACCATCCGACATCCGTTCACACAAGCTATCTTCCATTTTGCTTTCGATGTCCTGTGCGCCTTAAATTCCCCAAACCATCCGACATCCGTTCACACAAGCTTATCTTCCTTTTGCTTTCGATGTCCTGTGCGCCTTTTAAATTCCCCAAACCATCTGACATCCGTTCCTTTTTTGCTTTTCGATATGTCCTGTGCCTTAAATCTAAACCATCCGACATCCGTTCACACAAGTTATCTTCCTTTTTTTTCGATGTCCTGTGCGCCTTAAATTCCCCAAACCATCCGACATCCGTTCACACAAGCTATCTTCCTTTGCTTTTCGATGTCCTGTGCGCCTTAAATTCCCTAAACCATCTGACATCCGGCCATCCGTTCACATCCGTTATCCGTTCTTCCTTTTTGCTTTCGATGTCCTGTGCGCCTTAAATTCCCCAAACCATCCGACATCCGTTCATTGCTATCTTCCCTTTCGATATTAACCTTAAATTTTAAACCATCCGATCCGTTCTATCTTCTTTTTGCTTGATATGTCCTGTTAAATTCCCAAACCATCCGACATCCGTTCAAATTAAACCATTATCTTCCTTTTTGCTTTGATGTCCTGTGCGCCTTAAATTCCCAAAACCATCCGACATCCGTCCACACAAGCTATCTTCCTTTTGCTTTCGATGTCCTGTGCGCCTTAAATTCCCAAACCATCCGACATCCGTTCACACAAGCTATCTTCCTTTTGCTTTTCGATGTCCCGTGCGCCTTAAATTCCCCCAAACCATCCGACATCCGTTCACACGTTCTATCTTGTTCTTTTTGCTTTCGATGTCCTGTGCGCCTTAAATTCCCAAACCATCCGACATCCGTTCACACAAGCTATCTTCCTTTTTTGCTTTTCGATGTCCTGTGCGCCTTAAATTCCCCAAACCATCCGACATCCGTTCACACAAGCTATCTTCCTTTTGCTTTCGATGTCCTGTGCGCCTTAAATTCCCAAAACCACCATCCGACATCCTTTGCTTCGATGTCCTGCGCACCTTAAATTCAAAACCATCAAACATCCGTTAGACATCTATCTTCCTTTTGCTTTGATGTCCTGTGCGCCTTAAATTCCCAAACCATCCGACATCCGTTCACACACTTTATCTTCCTTTTGCTTTGATGTCCTGTGCCTTAAATTCCCCCAAACCATCCGACATCCGTTCACACAAGCTATCTTCCTTTTGCTTTCGATATGTCCTGTGCGCCTTAAATTCCCCAAACCATCCGACATCCGTTCACACAAGCTATCTTCCTTTTGCTTTCGATGTCCTGTGCGCCTTAAATTCCCCAAACCATCCGACATCCGTTCACACAAGCTATCTTCCTTTTGCTTTCGATGTCCTGTGCGCCTTAAATTCCCCAAACCATCCGACATCCGTTCACACAAGCTATCTTCCTTTTTTTTTGATGTCCTGTGCGCCTTAAATTCCCCAAACCATCCGACATCCGTTCACGTTATCTTCCTTTTTGCTTTTCGATATGTCCTGTGCGCCTTAAATTCCCCAAACCATCCGACATCCGTCGGCATCCACACAAGCTATCTTCCTTTTGCTTTCGATGTCCTGTGCGCTTTAAATTCCCCAAACCATCCGACATCCGTTCACACAAGCTATCTTCCTTTTTTTTCTGATGTCCTGTGCGCCTTTTCTAAACCATCCGACATCCGTTCCTGCTATCTTCTTTTTAAATGTCCTGTGCGCCTTAAATTCCCAAAACCATCCGACATCCGTTCACAAGCTATCTTCCTTTGCTTTCGATGTCCTGTGCGCCTTAAATTCCCCCAAACCATCCTGACATCCGTTCACATTGCTATCTTCCTTCCTTTTGCTTTCGATGTCCTGTGCGCCTTAAATTCCCAAAACCATCTGACATCCGTTCACACAAGCTATCTTCCTTTTGCTTTCGATGTCCTGTGCGCCTTTAAATTCCCAAACCATCTGACATCCGTTCACAAGCTATCTTCCTTTTGCTTTCGATGTCCCGTGCGCCTTAAATTCCCCAAACCATCCGACATCCGTTCACACGTTTATCTTCCTTTTGCTTTGATGTCCTTGCGCCTTAAATTCCTAAACCATCCGACATCCGTTGATCTTCCCTTTGTGTCCGCTTAAATTCCCCAAAACCATCCGACATCCGTTCATCTTCCTTTTGCTGACGCCTTAAATTCAAACCATCCGACATTTTCGATATGTCCCTTTCGATGTCCTTAAATTCCCCAAACCATCCGACATCCGTTCACACAAGCTATCTTCCTTTTGCTTTGATGTCCTGTGCGCCTTAAATTCTAAACCATCCGACATCCGTTCACACAAGCTATCTTCCTTTTGCTTTGATGTCCTGTGCGCCTTAAATTCCCAAACCATCCGACATCCGTTCACAAGCTATCTTCCTTTGCTTTCGAAATGTGCGCCCAAACCATCCGACATCCGTTCACACAAGCTATCTTCCTTTGCTTTTCGATGTCCTGTGCGCCTTAAATTCCCCAAACCATCCGACATCCGTTCACACAAGCTATCTTCCTTTGCTTTCGATGTCCTGTGCGCCTTTAAATTCCCTAAACCATCTGACATCCGTTCACACAAGCTATCTTCCTTTTTGTTGATGTCCCTGTTTTTTGCTTTCCGATGTCCTGCTTTGATGTCCTTTAAATTCCTAAACCATCCGACATCCGTTCACACAAGCTATCTTCCTTTGCTTTCGATGTCCCGTGCGCTTAAATTCTCAAACCATCCGACATCCGTTCCACAAGCTATCTTCCTTTTTTGCTTTCGATGTCCCGTGTGCCTTAAATTCCCTAAACCATCCGACATCCGTTCACACAAGCTATCTTCCTTTTTGCTTTCGATGTCTATTGCCTTTAAATTCCCAAACCATCCGACATCCGTTCACACAAGCTATCTTCCTTTTTGCTTTCGATGTCCCGTGCGCCTTAAATTTCAAAAATTCCGTTCACAAACCATCCGACATCCGTTTAAACACACATCCGCTTATCTTCCTTTGCTTTCGATGTCCTGTGCGCCTTAAATTCCCCAAACCATCCGACATCCGTTCACACAAGCTATCTTCCTTTTTGCTTTCGATGTCCTGTGCGGCCTTAAATTCCCCAAACCATCCGACATCCGTTCACACAAGCTATCTTCCTTTTTGCTTTGATATGTCCCGACATCCGCGGCCTAAATTCCCCAAACCATCCGACATCCGTTCACACAAGTTATCTTCCTTTTGCTTTCGATGTCCCTGTGCGCCTTTAAATTCCCAAACCATCCGACATCCGTTCACACAAGCTATCTTCCTTTTGCTTTCGATGTCCTGTGCGCCTTAAATTCCCCAAACCATCCGACATCCGTTCACACAAGCTATCTTCCTTTTGCTTTCGATGTCCTGTGCGCCTTTTTAAATTTCCCCAAACCATCCGACATCCGTTCACACTAAACCATATCTTCTTTTGCTTTTCGATGTCCTGTGCGCCTTAAATTTCCCAAACCATCCGACATCCGTTCACACAAGCTATCTTCCTTTTGCTTTCGATGTCCCGTGCGCCTTAAATTCCCCAAACCATCCGACATCCGTTCACAAGCTATCTTCCTTTTTGCTTTCGATGTCCTGTGCGCCTTAAATTCTAAACCATCCGACATCCGTTCACAAGCTATCTTCCTTTTTGCTTTCGATGTCCTGTGCGCCTTAAATTCCCAAACCATCCGACATCCGTTCACAAGCTATCTTCCTTTTGATTTCGATGTTCCTAAATTCCCCAAACCATCCGACATCCGTTCACACACTATCTTCCTTTGCTTTGATGTCCCGTGCGCCTTAAATTCCCTAAACCATCCGACATCCGTTCACAAGCTATCTTCCTTTTTGCTTTCGATGTCCCTGCGCCTTTAAATTTCAAACCATCTGACAAACCTATCCGACATCCGTTCACACATATCTTCCTTTTGTTTTCGATGTCCTGTGCGCCTTTAAATTCCCCAAACCATCCGACATCCGTTCACAAGCTATCTTCCTTTTGCTTTCGATGTCCTGTGCGTTTTAAATTCCCTAAACCATCCGACATCCGTTCACAAGCTATCTTCCTTTTGCTTTCGATGTCCTGTGCGCCTTAAATTCCCCAAACCATCCGACATCCGTTCACAACTATCTTCCTATCTTCGATTTGTGCGTGCCTTAAATTTTCAAGCTATCTTCCTTTGCTTTCGTGCCTTAAATTCCCAAAACCATCCGACATCCGTTCACACAAGCTATCTTCCTTTTGCTTTCGATGTCCTGTGCGCCTTAAATTCCCCAAACCATCCGACATCCGTTCACAAGCTATCTTCCTTTGCTTTCGATGTCCTGTGCGCCTTAAATTCCCCAAACCATCCGACATCCGTTCACACAAGCTATCTTCCTTTTGCTTTCGATGTCCTGTGCCTTTAAATTCCCAAACCATCCGACATCCGTTCACAAGCTATCTTCCTTTGCTTGATGTCCTGTGCGCCTTAAATTCCCCAAACCATCCGACATCCGTTGTTATCTTCCTTTTTGCTTTGATGTCCTGTGTCCATCGACATCCGTTAAATGTTCCTTAAACCATCCGACATCCGTTCACACAAGCTATCTTCCTTTTGCTTTCGATGTCCTGTGCGCCTTAAATTCCCCAAACCATCCGACATCCGTTCACACAAGCTATCTTCCTTTTGCTTTCGATGTCCTGTGCGCCTTAAATTCCCCAAACCATCCGACATCCGTTCACACAAGCTATCTTCCTTTTGCTTTCGATGTCCTGTGCGCCTTAAATTCCCCAAACCATCCGACATCCGTTCACAAGCTATCTTCCTTTTGCTTTCGATGTCCTGTGCGCCTTAAATTCCCAAACCATCCGACATCCGTTCACTGCTATCTTCCTTTTGCTTTTGATGTCCCATCCCTTAAATTCCCCAAACCATCCGACATCCGTTCACACAAGCTTATCTTCCTTTTGCTTTCGATGTCCTGTGCGCCTTAAATTCCCCAAACCATCCGACATCCGTTCACACAAGCTATCTTCCTTTTGCTTTCGATGTCCTGTGCGCCTTAAATTCCCAAACCATCCGACATCCGTTCACAAGCTATCTTCTTTTGCTTTCGATGTCCTGTGCGCCTTAAATTCCCCAAACCATCCGACATCCGTTCACACAAGCTATCTTCCTTTTGCTTTCGATGTCCTGTGCGCCTTAAATTCCTAAACCATCCGACATCCGTTCACACAAAGCTATCTTCCTTTGCTTTCGATGTCCCTGTGCCTTTAAATTCCCCAAACCATCCGACATCCGTTCACACAAGCTATCTTTTTTTGCTTTCGATGTCCCGTGCGCCTTAAATTCCCCAAACCATCCGACATCCGTTCACAAGCTATCTTCCTTTTGCTTTCGATGTCTGTGCCTTAAATTCCCCAAACCATCCGACATCCGTTCACAAGCTATCTTCCTTTGCTTTCGATGTCCTGTGCCAAAATTTTAAATTCCCAAACCATCCGACATCCGTTCACAAGCTATCTTCCTTTTGCTTTTCGATGTCCTGTGCGCCTTAAATTCCCAAACCATCCGACATCCGTTCACTTATCTTCCTTTGCTTTCGATGTCCCGTGCGCCTTAAATTCCCCAAACCATCCGACATCCGTTCACACAAGCTATCTTCCTTTTGCTTTCGATGTCCTGTGCGCCTTAAATTCCCCAAACCATCCGACATCCGTTCACACAAGCTTATCTTCCTTTTTGCTTTGATGTCCTGTGCGCCTTAAATTCCCTAAACCATCCGACATCCGTTCACACAAGCTATCTTCCTTTTGCTTTCGATGTCCTGTGCGCCTTAAATTCCCCAAACCATCCGACATCCGTTCACAAGCTATCTTCCTTTGCTTTCGATGTCCTGTGCGCCTTAAATTCCCCAAACCATCCGACATCCGTTCACACAAGCTATCTTCCTTTTGCTTTCGATGTCCTGTGCGCCTTAAATTCCCAAAACCATCCGACATCCGTTCACACAAGCTATCTTATCTTCCATTTTGCTTTCGATGTCCGTTGCTATCTTAAATTCCCAAACCATCCGACATCCGTTCACAAGCTATCTTCCTTTGCTTTCGATGTCCTGTGCGCCTTTAAATTCCCAAACCATCCGACATCCGTTCACAAGTTATCTTCCATTTTGCTTTCGATGTCCTGTGCGCCTTAAATTCCCCAAACCATCCTGACATCCGTTCACACAAGCTATCTTCCTTTGCTTTCGATGTCCTGTGCGCCTTAAATTCCCCAAACCATCCGACATCCGTCCGTTCACAAGTTTTATCTTCTTTTTGCTTTCGATGTCCTGTGCGCCTTAAATTCCCTAAACCATCCGACATCCGTTCACACAAGCTATCTTCTTCCTTTTGCTTTGATGTCCCTTGCGCTTTTAAATTCCCCAAACCATCCGACATCCGTTCACACAAGCTATCTTCCTTTTGCTTTCGATGTCCTGCGCCTTAAATTCCCCAAACCATCCGACATCCGTTCACACAAAGCTATCTTCCATTTGCTTTCGATGTCCTGTGCGCCTTAAATTCCCAAACCATCCGACATCCGTTCCTTTTGCAAGCTATCTTCCTTTTGCTTTCGATGTCCTGTGCGCTTTTTAAATTCCCCCAAACCATCCGACATCCGTTCACACAAGCTATCTTCCTTTGCTTTCGATGTCCTGTGCGCCTTAAATTCCCCAAACCATCCGACATCCGTTCACACAAGCTATCTTCCTTTTGCTTTCGATGTCCCGTGCGCCTTAAATTCCCCAAACCATCCGACATCCGTTCACACAAGCTATCTTCCTTTTGCTTTCGATGTCCTGTGCGCCTTAAATTCCCCAAACCATCCGACATCCGTTCACACAAGCTATCTTCCTTTTGCTTTCGATGTCCCGTGCGCCTTTAAATTCCCAAACCATCCGACATCCGTTCACAAGCTATCTTTTTTTTTCGATGTCCTGTGTGCCTTAAATCCCCAAACCATCCGACATCCGTTCACACAAGCTATCTTCCTTTTGCTTTCGATGTCCATCCGTGTGCTTTAAATTCCCAAACCATCCGACATCCGTTCACACAAGCTATCTTCCTTTTGCTTTCGATGTCCCTGTGCGCCTTAAATTCCCCAAACCATCCGACATCCGTTCACACAAGCTATCTTCCTTTGCTTTCGATGTCCTGTGCGCCTTAAATTCCCCAAACCATCCGACATCCGTTCACACAAGCTATCTTCCCTTTGCTTTCGATGTCCTGTGCGCCTTAAATTCCCTAAACCATCCGACATCCGTTCACACAAGCTATCTTCCTTTGCTTTCGATGTCCTGTGCGCCTTAAATTCCCAAACCATCCGACATCCGTTCACAAGCTATCTTCCTTTTGCTTTCGATGTCCTGTGCGCCTTAAATTCCCAAAACCATCCGACATCCGTTCACACAAGCTATCTTCCTTTTGCTTTCGATGTCCTGTGCGCCTTAAATTCCCCAAACCATCCGACATCCGTTCACACAAGCTATCTTCCTTTTGCTTTCGATGTCCCGTGCGCCTTAAATTCCCCAAACCATCCGACATCCGTTCACACAAGCTATCTTCCTTTTGCTTTCGATGTCCCGTGCGCCTTAAATTCCCCAAACCATCCGACATCCGTTTTTCTGATGCTATCTTCCTTTTGCTTTCGATGTCCTGTGCGCCTTAAATTCCCCAAACCATCCGACATCCGTTCACACAAGCTATCTTCCTTTTGCTTTCGATGTCCTGTGCGCCTTAAATTCCCCAAACCATCCGACATCCGTTCACACGCTACATGTCCGTTCCCAAACCATCCGACATCCGTTATCTATCTTCTTTTGCTTTCGATGTCCTGTGCGCCTTAAATTCCCAAAACCATCCGACATCCGTTCACACAAGCTATCTTCCTTTTGCTTTCGATGTCCCGTGCGCCTTAAATTCCCCAAACCATCCGACATCCGTTCACAAGCTATCTTCCTTTTTGCTTTCGATGTCCTGTCAAACCATCCGACGCCGTTTAAATTCCAAAACCATCCGACATCCGTTCACACAAGCTATCTTCCTTTTGCTTTCGATGTCCTGTGCGCCTTAAATTCCCAAACCATCCGACATCCGTTCACAAGCTATCTTCCATTTGCTTTCGATGTCCTGTGCGCCTTTAAATTCCCAAAACCATCCGACATCCGTTCACAAGCTTTTATCTTCCTTTTGCTTTTGCTTTCGATGTCCTGTGCGCCTTAAATTCCCAAACCATCCGACATCCGTTCACACAATATCTTCCTTTGCTTTCGATGTCCCGTGCGCCTTAAATTCCCCAAACCATCCGACATCCGTTCACACAAGCTATCTTCCTTTTTGCTTTCGATGTCCTGTGCGCCTTAAATTCCCCAAACCATCCGACATCCGTTCACAAGCTATCTTCCTTTTTGCTTTCGATGTCCGTGCGCCTTAAATTCCCCAAACCATCCGACATCCGTTCACACAAGCTATCTTCCTTTTGCTTTCGATGTCCTGTGCGCCTTAAATTCCCAAAACCATCCGACATCCGTTCACACAAGCTATCTTCCTTTTGCTTTCGATGTCCTGTGCGCCTTAAATTCCCAAAACCATCCGACATCCGTTCACACAAGCTATCTTCCATTTGCTTTCAATATGTCCCGTGCGCCTTAAATTCCCCAAACCATCCGACATCCGTTCACACAAGCTATCTTCCTTTTGCTTTCGATATGTCCTGTGCACCTTAAATTCCCCAAACCATCCGGCATCCGTTCACACAAGCTATCTTCCTTTCGCTTTCGATATGTCCTGTGCGCCTTAAATTCCCCAAACCATCCGACATCCGTTCACACAAGCTATCTTCCTTTCGCTTTCGATATGTCCTGTGCGCCTTAAATTCCCCAAACCATCCGACATCCGTTCACACAAGCTATCTTCCTTTTGCTTTCGATATGTCCTGTGCGCCTTAAATTCCCCAAACCATTCTACCTTTGTTTCTAAAGAAATTTTCCTCAAACTGAGCACGCCGATTTTTCAGATGAAATTTTCTGACGGCTCTCCAAGCTTATTAATATCATCTTGCTTAATAATTTCGTACCTTTCCTCAAATCTAAAAGAGAAAATAGTAATTATTATATGTTTTATATATTTTAATTATTATATGTTTTATATGTAATTATCATATGTATTATAGTATTATATGATTTGAATTTATTAAGTTTCAATATTATGTCTGCACACTTTTATGATTGCATTGTTTTAAAAATAAAGTGTTCTATTTTCCTTTTTAATTATTTCCAGAATTACCGCGTTTTATTCTTTGATAAACTTTTTTTTAAAATAAAAACCTTTTTCAGTGCAAATATTGGCTCACTCTGTCATGCTGTGGATGCTAATATTTTCAGATCTGATTCAAGATGATCACTTGTTTTCTGGATATTCATCACAGAATCTGCATTTCGCGTTTTTCAATATGTTTGCTTGGTAATTTCTCTTTTAGCAAGCACTGGTCCTGTGCAGTAAGAATAATAATAAAAATGTTTCAGCTTTTAACCCTGCATTAGGCAATCAATGATAGGTACAAGGTTTGTTTACATCAACTCGTTTGGCACCAGCAGAGTATTGACCATGTAGAGGTTTATCTTGCCATCATTTCTACATTCGATCCAATGCATTTGCTTTTGCTTTCTCTTTTACGTTCTTTGTTGCTGCAGTAGGTGTACTATGGTTTACTTACTCTCCTTCATCCATTTGAAATTCCCTTCTGAATTTGGTGGCTTACATTATTATTGAATAATGTTTCTTCTTCTTCTTCTTCTTCTTCTTCTTCTGAACATCATCATCATCATTATCATCATCATCATCTATTCCTTTTTATTCAGTACATCACTTACCAGCATATAAATCACGACCTAGGATAAGGTAAGTGAGTAAATATATGCGCTTAATCAAGTTTGCTTATACTTAACGAAAAATTACATTCTATCTCGATGGTGTATATTTAGTTGAAGTATAATCCATTAATCTGATGACACTTTTGATCGGTGAAACTTGTCTGAAAAAAGAAAAAAAAAAGAAGATTTCTCCAAATTGTCATATATTCACCACAAATGTTAACTGATGCGCAATATATGTTGTTTATATTTTCTTTACATTTTATAATACTCTCTTGAGCAAATGATCATGTTGCGATTTCTTTAATCTCTTGTAAACAGAGTTTGCCAGGGATTTTGCTAATATGCTTTTCAAAAAGTCTCTATCAACATGTAACCTTTTGCTCAAGCACTTTTAAATTTTATATTATTATGGTATGGATTATCTCCCCTTATACATATTCTGTATTTAAGTAAGTCGAATAGGGCGAACTCCATTCTAAGTCGAATAAAGCTATACCTATATCCGTATTCTCACAACAATTTATTCAACTTAGATTTCCCCAACATGGAACATTGCATGAAACCACAAAAGATCGATTTCGACTCTGACCATACCGCAGATGCTGAGCAATGTACCCATTTTAAGGTTCGAAACTTCGGAGAAACCCTGGAGCGCCCCACCAACATATAGACAAGACAAGGCTGATAACGATCTATCTGTCTACAGGATAATTTCAGAAACCCCTTCTTACGAGGAAGCTATAAACTTACTACACGCAATTTACTTTAAAGCCGGTTAGGCAAGACAAACCCGGGACAACAAGTTCAGATGAACCAATGTCAGAGGCCGCTGTCGACCACGAACCACTACGACGGCCTCAAAGCACCCGCAGGTGACCGGGCCGGTGGAATGACTTTGTTCCCTACAAATAACCAGCGGAGGAGAATGTGGTATAGATTATCTCCCCTTATACTTTAAGTAAGTTCAGTAGGACACACTCCATTCTAAGTTGAATAAAACTTCAGTTAAGTTACACCTGCGTTCGTATTCTCACTACAATTAGGTGTGCATGTAAAAGTTCCCGACGTTTCCCGACGAAACCTGAGACTGAATTCACAGATGAAAACTGATATTTTGCTGGAAAATTTGCACATACTTTATAGATTTACGTTAGGAAAAAAGTACCTACGTATAATTTAAATATTTACTTGGAAAATTCAACGAGGGCACAGTGATCGCAAATATACCAAAAGTGCAAGTGTTCAGCGGTGAAATTTCGATCATGTTCTAAATCTAAAATATGACAATATTAGAACTACACAAACTGTTTACTCCACTGGTTTAGCACAGAAATATAGATTCTACAGCATCACCCAAATAAACCTTGACGCTTGTTTCTATCTATCTATCTATCTATCTATCTATCTATCTATCTATCTATCTATGTTTATAAATAAAAATCAATCAATCTATCTAAAGTTGTCTGTCTATCTATACTGATAAATAAAAAAAACAGTTTGTCTATGTTTATAAATTAAATCTATCTATCTATCTTTATAAATAAAAATCAGTCAATCTATCTAAAGTCGTGTATCTATCTATGCTGATAAAAAAAAAAGTTTGTCTATGTTTATAAATCTATCTATCTATTTATCTATATATGTTTATAAGTAAAAATCTATCTAAAGTTGTCTATCTGTCTATCTATGCTGATAAATAAAAAACAGTTTGTCTATGTTTATAAATTAAATCTATCTATCTATCTTTATAAATAAAAATCAGTCAATCTATCTAAAGTCGTGTATCTATCTATGCTGATAAAAAAAAAAGTTTGTCTATGTTTATAAATCTATCTATCTATTTATCTATATATGTTTATAAGTAAAAATCTATCTAAAGTTGTCTATCTGTCTATCTCTGCTGATAAATAAAAAATAGTTTGTCTATGTTTATAAATTAAATCTATCTATCTATCTATCTATCTATCTATCTATCTATCTATCTATTCTTTCCCCGGCTTTTCCCTTCTCTATACCTTTCTCTCAGGGTGCTTTTTATCCTCTTTGTTCCCCCGGTGCTTTTTAAACTTCAGAACTGCATGACCTGACTTCTTTCCATCCCCCTTTCTCTCGCAGCGATGCACGCCTTTTGTCGAATTCTCTTCTTGTGTCTGTTTTCTTGCGTGTAACGAGCCTCTTTTCAGGCCAAAATGACCTTTTGACTGCGTTCTTCTCCCACAAACAGGCTCACCATTGGAAACAATAAAAATAATTAGGCTTTTTAAAGCAGATCAGAGGTGATAACTAAGGGACACACGGACACCACTCACACTCGTTCACAAACACACACACACACACATACATTTGTATAAGCCCACAAACACACACGCTTTTATGTACACAAACGTACGCATTTCCATAGCTACTTCCATTCTTTTTGTATTTCGCTTCATTTTTTCAGTCTTAACTTCGTTTAATTCTGTTTATATCGCCAGCTAAGAAAGAGGACTCAATTGTATATATATATATATATATATATATATATATATATATATATATATATATATATAAAACATTAGGCAGCATATAATTTATATACAAAGAAATAATCACGCATAGAATCAATCAGCAATATTAATGCTATTATTGGCGACATCCATCGCTAGTAGTGTATAATGTATGCATTAAAATACTGTTAATTCATAAAGTCACGATGAATAAAGGATTATTCGAAAGTACTTGCATTTAAAAAAATATAAACTGGAAACAACAGACAACAGTTTTATAAATGAGGATCACACCACTCTATGGATTAACAGTATTTTCTTTTATATATATATATATATATATATATATATATATATATATATATATATATATCCTAAACAAACACACACTAACGCAATGGAAAGCAAAAGAACACAGAACTCAAATGTACCGGAACATTTCTTCCCAATTTATTTCAAAAATATTTTATTGGAAGCTGAAATAGAAGCGAAACGTGTTAAATTTGTAAAAACATATATATATATATATATATATATATATATATATATATATATATATATATATATATATATCCAAACGAGAGAAAGAACAGATAAAGTAAAAATTCCGGTCTTCGTAAAAAAAAAAAGAGATAAAGGAGGAGAGGGTGAGAAAACACAAGGTCAGAATCAAAAAATAGACTTGTGTTTTCTCACATCACTTTATCTTTCAGAAAATAGGTAACACTTTGCTTTTGAAATTTTCTTAAAAAATATTTAATCTCCAGTCACTTACCATCGCCTGTAGAGGTACATTGTAGTGCCGAAACACGAAAGCTATTGTGTAGCGATTTCAATATGTTTTTGTCATAATCTCTTATAATAAAATATATATATATATATATATATTTATATATATATATAGAGAGAGAGAGAGATTGAGCAAGACAAACCAAGAGTGATGTGAAGATGCTGGGTGCTTTAATAACGGTATAGAAAATCGAATGAACGACTGGGCTATTGTTACTTAGTATGTATACATATACATGCATATGCCTTCGTGTCATACACGAGCATGCATTAAAATACAATGTTCTAAAATTTTGTGTCGGGGCCAAAATTTGCTCCCTTCCGCTTTCTTTCTCGTTTTCTCACTCTCTAACTCACACACATAGCGGACACACACACACGCACACTCACTCTCTCACGCACACACGCACCTACTCCTCCGCCCAAACACGAACACACACAAACTTTTTTCTACCATATTTGCACCGCGTTCTCACTGATGCTTACTCGTTAAAGAATTATGAATGAAATCACAGACATAAGGAAGTATTTCATAGACCAACGCATTCTAATTTATACACATTTTTTTAAATACACACGAATATGCTCTTGAACACACACACACACACACACACACACACACATATATATATATATATATATATTAAGTACTGCCCATAATTTCGCGGAATAATATGAAGAATATACGCAAAATGAATACGTTTCTGACATTTGCCTTCAAGCAAAGCACTGATACAGAGAAAAATCTATGTATACAAGGAGACTATTTCGAAGGAAACGGTGGAAACGGGATGCAACAATATTTTTTTACATGATCAAATTACATGAATTTCTGCCCATCACGTTGTGTTCGCTGATATATATATATATATATATATATATATATATATATATATATATAGATAGATAGATAGATAGATAGAAAGATAGATTAGATAGCTGGAGAGATATATAGGTTGTGGATATTGGAATCAATGATGCATATTAACTGTCCTGTCTGGTTCAGGTGTTAGTTTGAAGGTCGCATTAAGGCGTGAAACTAAGTCACCACTATATATATATATATATATATATATATATATATATATATATATATATATATATATATATGCGCGTACAATTCACGGCTACACAGGTATACATGAATGCAATCATTGAAGTACTGATAAAAATGTTTCTATCTTTTGTCTCTCTCCCTCTCTTTGTCTCTCTCTCTCTCTGTCAGTCGTTTTTCACTCTTTGTATCTATAATTACATTTAAGTAGCTGGAGTCTGTTAATCAATAATTATTCTCCGTCATGTCCCATAGTGAACTTTTCTGCCAGGGATGGATTCGGATACTATCAAAACCGCCCCGATCACCACCACCGCCCCCACAATAATTACACGTAACAAATCGAAGACGACCAGTAGAAAGTTACAAAAAAACACTAATATAAAACACACACACACACACACACAAAAAAAAAACCCCAAAAAACTATTAGAGAAAAAAGTGTAGAGAAAACAAAGGATTCGGAAGTCTCGTCGATATTAGTCGGATAAATGGAGGAGTGAATCGAGTTGGATGAATCTGTCGGCCGGATGGTAAGGCTTAGGAGTTCTGGAGCACAAAGTAACGGTTAATAAGGAAATGGCTAATGAAAGAAAATAAGAAGAGTCTTCAAGGAAGAGATATTATATTGAAATTTCAAAAATTTAAAATTTTGCCTCTTAATGAATTTCACCTGAATTCGTCATATAACCTAACGTTTCTAAGTATTTCACATTTTTGCTAGTATAGATTTCTCGAAACGTTAAAAATTGATAACACTACTTAAGTAACTTTCATTGGCTATTTTTTCTGCATGGGTTGCATCGGATGTTTTAGAATTTACTTTGGCTATATTTTCTGCATGTGTAATCTATGATTTTGTTACTACAGTCAGCTCTATTGACGTTTGTAAGAATTTGACTTACCAAACCGTTTAAAGTGTAAATATACAAAGAAAGCCAAACACAATGCAGTAGAAACAAAAGGCAATATATTAGCAGTCTGATCTACCTTACTTACCAATAAGATATTGTTTTATAATAGCACAAAACATTTCGCTAACAGGCATCACGTATGCCCTCTAGTACAACAGGATAACATTTTGAAGAAGGGAAGAACAGGCTGTGTGACCGATAAATATACAAAATCACGATGTATTTTCTGTGATAGAACAGATGTTTCGTAAATCCTAGCAGAAGTAAATCTCTATTTAATTAAAATCTCTTGTATGTTTTGAATTGTCAAAAGGTGTTTAAGATGGAATTCAACTTATATTCAAACTAAATCTCCCAAAATAACATTTATTCTTTTATTCTATTATTTTGAATCAGCAAAAATAATTTAAAATAATTAAAAATGAACATAACTAAATTCATGTTATTTCGATTCTACAAAATATTTTAAAAGTAGATGTATACGGTACGTTAAATTGGATGATCTTCCTTGATCTGCATCTTTAACGTCCGATAAATTTCTTAGAAAATATACGTCCTCCGACAGGAATCGATCCTGTATCCTACACGCAACCGTCATATAGGCTGACGTTTTATACCAGTTTAGCTACGAAGGAGCGTCCGGTTACCAAGGTCGATTTTACTGCTTTTAAACTACAAACTTCCTATGATTTCCCTCGAACGTCCATATCTAGAAGCGTACTTTAACGTAAACAAATGACGTTAACATACGCTTCGGTATAGCACGTTAGACTATATGACCGTTCCGTGTAGGATACAGGTTCAATTACTCATGGAGGAGGCATATTTTCTATGAAATTTCTCGGACATTCAGGTCGACAAATATTCTTAATACTGTTAGTTCATTTCGTAGTGTGTGAGGTCATTTGTTTACGTTAAGATATGCTTTGAAAAGATATGGACGTTCTAGGGAAATCATGGAAAGTTTGTAATTTAAAAGCAGTAAAATCGAACTTGTTAACCAGACGGTCCTTCCTGGCTAAACTGGTATAGCATGTCAGGCTATATGACGGTTGCGTGTAGGATACAGGTTCGATTCCTGTCGGAGGACGTATATTTTCTATGACATTTCTCGGACGTTCAGGCCGGTAAATGTTGTTAATACTGCTAATTATAAAGCGAGCATTTACTTAAATATTTGTGTATATATAAATAACAATATATATATATATATATATATATATATATATGTTAAACAATTGTTATCATTTTAAAATCAAATGTTGATTTTTTAATTAATAGTGTTGGAGACGCAGTACTCTGAGGGCCACGATTTACATGCATATCCAATACTAAAATCAATACAAAATTAGATATGACACACAATCTTCACAATCTCTCGAAGGTTAACTTGTCACTTATCGAAAATTAGTGCAGTTCACACGTATATCAGCCATCATATAAAAACAATAAAAATATCACTATTAACGTCGGGCAAATATTAGTAGATAAAAAGAAAACACTAAACAGGAGACACTGAAAAGATACAAATACTGGAAGCTTTCTTTTTATAAAAGAATGAATTCATATTGATCACAATAACTTTCACCAGTGTAGTCAGTATTTAAAATATATATTTAAAAATGTATTGATATCTTCTTGAGGCATCCCTAAATTAAGGGGTTCGTAACGGAATAATCTTATTCACCGTCTTACACATACGTTCACTATTATATAATCTATCTAATTATATTCATCATAATTAATGCATGAACTGATAAACACTCCCTCTATCTATCTATCTATCTATCTATCTATCTATCTATCTATCTATCTATCTATCTATCTATCCCAAAATATAATAAATAATAATAATTATCATAAATATATGCTGATAAACGTTATCTATCTATCTATCTATCTATCTATCTATCTATCTATCTATCTATCTATCTATCTATCTATCCCAACATATAATAAATAATAATAATTATCTAAAAATATGCAGATAAACACTATCTAT